CACCTGACGCACCAGCTACACCTGCACCGCTCAGCTACACGCAGGCTTTACACTTTCACCTCGACCACTGGAGCTTCACTTTCAGGGTTTAACACGCCGTTCTGTCCTACATCAGAGCCAAGAACTGACGATGGGAAAACTCTCTGCAGCCATTTCCTGCTGGTTGCTGACTGTTGGCACTGTGATGGCCCAGACAGGTACAAGCTCTATGTACTAGTACTACAATAATACTACTGTCCACTAATCCTGTGAAAAAACATCAGTGATTGTTCAAGAGCCGCAACTAACAACCTCCTTGTCTCAGTTATTTGAAGAGGTGATTGGTCTGTGAAATGTCAGAAACCAGTGAAAATGCTTGGTTTAGTTTCCCCAGAGTCAAAGGTGACGTCTTCAGATGTGTAGTTTTATCTTACCAAGTCCACAACGTAGTCAGTGTACTGCTGGGTTTTTGACTGTCCCAGTGTATTTTGAATTAAGTGAAAAATCGCCTGGTGAGAAAGATAAATGTACAAGGAAGCAGCTTTAATTTCATGTAATCAAGACACACCTTATAGGTTGTGCTGTAATTCTCCCTTATTAAACTGTACTGTACCCAAGTACCAATACTTCAGCTTACTTATATTTTATGCTGCTAGATTTTCACCAGATTTCATAGGGAAATACAGTACCTTACTTTTAAATACCCCTTGTCACTGTACACACCTACAATTTGACAAAATCAGTCTATGAAATGACAACTTAAAAACTACTTAAACCTTCATTTACCCGTGAAAACCTCGTTAACCAAATATGAAAGTGGCTATTCTTACCAATAAATATTTCTCCATTAAATATAGTGGAAATACATTTACTCCTTTACAAATCTGAGCTACTCTGAGTAATATATTACTGTTTATGTCTACTACTCCATATTTGACAGTTAAATTTATATTAGGCAAAGGTTGGTGAATTTACCCTTTAAACCACATCAATCATCTAAATCTTCATCAAAATGTTTTGCAAAGCAGTATTTAGACCATTAGTTTGCCTAAATTTGATTTGGTTTAGAATGTGGTTTCTGATAACCAGTTTATTAGCTGCTAAACTGGTTATATTAACGTTTTACATGAGCAGATACTGTTTGGTTTACCTCAGCTCAGTTTATTGTCTTATTTCTATGGACACCAAGACCAACAAAACAAACCAGCGGTTGGCGCCGAGTTTGGATGACTTCTGACATCTGTGTGTTTGTGTGTCAGGTCCAGCTCAGACCAGTCAGCGGATGCTGCCGCAGTGGCTCACCGGCATCATTGCTGTCGTTGCCTTCCTCTTCCTCGCCTTCGTCGCTGTCCTGGTGAAGAAGGCCTGGTGTGCGGAGTCCAGCAGGTCAGTCAGGGAGAGTTTGTAATATCGATAACACAGAAGGTACAAGTCAATTGAGAAGGAAGAGACTCACGTATTTGTTTCTGCTTCGATGTCTTCAACACAAGGCATCCAGTGCACGACTCTGCACTTTCTTTTCCAAGCTATTCAGAAAGGTTTAAATGCTGTTTTCCACCCGTGTGCAGGGCGATGACCTCCCTGGACAGGGTGAGAGAAAATGAATTTGTCATGGCCAATGAACACGAATACGCCACCAGTCTGGACATGGTCAGGTGCGAGCAACAAGTCCTACAAACACAACTACAAAGCTTTACTAACAACTTCACTTTTTGTTCCACTGTGGCAAATAATGAACGCACAGCATGTCGCATTTTATGCTGAGAATTTGGTGCTTTAAAAACAGCTGCAATATGCAGTAAGGAAAAATAGTCCTGTATTACCTACCTGTATTAAATAAAAACCATTTGTGTTGATCAGGAGCAAAGAGGACGAGAACGCCTATGACAACCCGGTGATTGACAACACTGACAACAAAGTTACTGCCATGTGACCGTCCTGGCCTGATCCCATTGGCTGTCTGAGTGTTGTTCTCACCAACTCTGGACCAACACACACTTTTTTTTTTATATGGGGGGGGGGAAAAAAAAAAGTACATTTGCAGACTTTTTCATCCAGTTTGTTTTGTTTCGTTGATGTCACCTGTTGTAGATATCCAGCGCAGCTCAGTGTCCTGAATGATTAATCAGTTATCTAACAAACATTACTAATCAATGAAAGAAGGACCTGCTGTGATTAATTATTAAACACCATGGCAGCAAAGTCTAATCTTACAGAAAACAACTCAGGGGGGGAAATAAAACACATAAGGAAAATATGAGTAAGGTTCTTTTTTTAAACACCCTGTATGAACAGAATAAATCACTGCAGTACAACAGCAGTCTTCATTTACGTCTCTGGCCTGTCCTGCCCTCCAATGTAATGCTGGTTCAGCTGCTGCTCTCTGGGATTTTAAACCCCCATCAGAAACCTGTGGGTGACAACAGAATGACACCAAAGTAAATGATATTCAGCAACCGAGTCTCCATGTTTTGATCCATGTATTCTTGCAAAAGGGTGATAGACATCCCAGTTTGAGTTACAGAAGGATGCAGTTAGTGATATTTTGTTCCCCACCAACCCCGTCCAGAGACCAGCAGCACCAGTGAACGTGGTGTCCTCACTGTGATGCGAGACCCTAGTCCAGCTCATCGTTGTGCTGTAGACCTCCACTGTTGTCCACCGGCTATTAAACCCCCCAGTGAGACACACCACTGCACTGGGGGGCAGGTTTCCTCCTCAGGGAACAGGGGAGGCTGTTTCTAACAAACGGCTCCACAGGCTGAGAACAGCATCACTGTGCAGAGTCTGAAGGAGCCCAAAGTCAGTGTTGTGGGTTGCACAGAAAGCTAGCGGAGGGGTTTAAGTAAAGTATCAGTAACCTGGCTATTAATGCACCAAAGTAACACCAACCAGCAGCTGAATGATGATGACAGGCCGCATGTGCAGAGGAGACGTTAAAATGTCCACATGGATTCCTCTCTGACCTCTGACTGCGAGCGCTGTCAGAGGTCAGAGAGGAACCGGGTCTAGGAGCACATACACAGGTGGCCCAGATCTGGTCTGGTCTGTTCACACTGCTGTGGACACATCAGGTCTGGGAAATGTCAGCTATAATGTGAACGTATAGGCTCAGAGTAAAAAAAAAATCCTTCTCAGAAGCTGCAGGACTAATGGGTAGATGGATGGCACAGAGTGTTACAGCAGACACATTTTGGATGTTGACTGGACATGATGTTTATTTAACATGAAGCTGTCAGGGAGGAGGTGGGCTTGTGTGAGTTCACATTACAGAACAGAATAAGTGATGACCGAAATAAAACTACAGAATACAGGTGGAGACTCAGGAGTCGCAGGCTGAAACTGGCCATGTCCATCTCATCAAACACAGCAGCACGGCTGGTCGAAGCATTCTGCGATTTCCGACCAGACATAGACAGAACATGTTATTATAATAGAAATTACAGTTAATTTCCAGTGAGATCAAAAGATAACAGTTCATCTACATTACAAATAAAGTACCAAAAATTAAGACAATAATTCTGACACACACAGTTGAACGTGAAGTGTTTTGCACTTGACTGATACGTGTAGCCTATGAAGTACAGCGTCTCCGAGCACACAGACACCTACAGCTGCTGCCAACAGCGCAGTGACACTCCTACATACCTGAACAGAGCACTGCAGTATCAAAGTATACGTCTGCAGTACTCCGCTAACACACACAATGTGGCTGAAAGCAACAGCCTGACATTTGACAATTCCTGGTGTAAACTAAGGTTGTTAGCGTTTTATGACATCTGCTAACTGAAGCTTTATCCCTTCTCAAATCTGTTCAGGTAAGCCGAACAGGTAAGGTCTGTTTTAAAGGAAAGCTTTAAACAAACAAACCTTACCTTTAAAAAAAAGCTTTAAACAAACACACCGTTAAAAAAAAGCTTTAAACAAACAACAAACCTTACCTTTAAAAAAAAGCTTTAAACAAACACACCGTACCTTTAAAAAAGGCTTTAAACAAACACACCTTACCTTTAAAAAAAAGGCTTTAAACAAACACAGCCCATCACAGATTAATCTGAGATGTGTATTCAGAATGAGGACAAATATCTGATTAGAGATTTGTCGGCGTTGAATCTTATGAACCCTTGTATTTTGTCAAAAAACATAAAATTCATCTAACATCTAAGTGGGACTTCCGAGGACAAAGCCAGAGAAAGGTCTAGGAACGTTCAGCCTAGCTTGGCTACAGCAACGCAAGCTAAACATGTCCCGGAAATAAAAATGGCATGGTGGAAGTCCAGAGATGTCAGAGAACAGGATGAACTAAATGTCAGCCTGTTGCTTTTAATCTAAGAACGTTTTCTCTCCTGATAAGGATGTGGAAGACAGTATCTGTTGCCGGGGGCGACCAGGGGTCTCCAAGCCCAAGTCCTGAGAGTCATCTCCCCAGATCCACATTTAACATTTATTTATGATTATTATGTGACATATGGATCCTTTACTGGGAGAAAAGGTTTTGTTTAGTTTTAATATGAAAAAATAAATACACCTACTTTTATCAAATGGTTGCACTTTGTATAAGAGTGTAGAGAACTGAAATAAAATAGAGAATTTCATGCTCTGATTTTACATAGATGTAACGCTAAACTCTCATGTTTGGAACATGTTGCTAAGCAGAGGTCTAGTTAGACCAGCTTCACACTTCTCTGCTGGTGGAAACAGCTCATACAACGCGTTTCCACTGGCACAAAGTGAAGAGAGAAAGAAAAATAAGCATTTTAAGGGAAATAAAGTGTTTACAATGCATAAAAACATTTTTTTATAATCTGATTTACATCCACAGTTTGTACAACTGGACATCAACTCTAAACTTAGCATTTATAAGCAAGATGTAAACATCTAATAAGTTCTTTGTAACACACTGTAATGCAGCTGTTGGCACATGTAGGAACATTTTTAGTGTTCATTAATATACAGGTTGTGCAAACGACTAACTTCCGCAGGGATGAACATATTAATAAACATATCTGACAAAAACATATAGTGTGTTGTAGTATATAGTATCATTAAATGTTTATATGCTGCTTATAAATACTAAATAGAGGAACTAAAAGTAAACTTTTACTAATTGGACTCAATATTACATATAACATTTAGTGAAATGAACCTGGGCTGGTTATGAAAAAATACATTAGCTGCAAACTGTGTAATTTTGTATCATCAGACCAAGCATGATGCATACTGCACTTTATGTCCAAAAGTAAGCGGACAGCCCCGTACCTCCTCCAGGCGTCTAGTTCTAATAAAAGAAAATCTTAATGCTACAGCACACAATGATATTTTAGTGCAGCAGACCCCTGCAGTAGGTTCGAGATCTGCCGAACAGACTGAAGCCAAAAGACACATGTTCAGGTTAAACTGCCCCATGGAGGGAATGTTCAGCTGTCCACATACTTTTGGCCATGTACCGTAACTAGCTGGCTGTAACAGTTGATTGATCTGCTGATGAGGGACAGGAGTTTTCACAGCAACTCAGTGGCAAACAGCTAGCCAGAGATGCTAAGCTAATGTGTGTAGCAGAAAACCGACACTGTGTCCAGTCAGGTTTTCACCAACACGTCCCTTTTGTTCATCTGGATGACAAACAACAGCGTTTCATCCGTGAACCCAGTGTCTCAGTCTGACTGTACAGTTGTATTAACATGGCTCCAGAAACATAATCCAGTGTTTGAGGATATTCTGATTTGGCAGCGGGTCTGATAACAGAGTTCCTCAACCTTTCCTGGCCCGTGACATGTTTCTGATTCAGAATCCTCATAAACTCCCAAACTGTGAAGTTTTGCCAGCTTTCACTGAGAAAGCCATTGGATGGATCTGACATGAAGTTACCTTCAGGTACTGAGGACAACCCAGATGATGAATCACCCTGGGGATCCTCTGCCTTTCCCTCTGGTGCCACCATAAGGTTGACATGTGGTTAAAAATAAAATTCAATAATCAGTTCAATCCACCCAACAGTTATTTGATGGATTACCATGATAGTTTACAGCTTTAAGCATTTATCGTGATATGTGTTTTTTAAAACACTGATTAACTGGTGTTTACAATGTCTGAAAATATATATCTGTCCAGTATTTGTCTCCTTTTGTCAGACCAACTGTTCAAAAATCAAAGATATTCAGATAAAAGGCAAAGAAAGCAGCAAATATTCACATTTGGAACCTTGGAACTAGAGAAATTCTGGCATTTTGCCCTAAAGCAGCTATAATGAATATTTTTCATACAAGTGTAAATGGCAAGGTTCAGGTGTGTGATGAACCTGCAGGGACTTTACAGTGAGTCTCAGTTCACTGTTTGGTGTCAGACCACAGCGTTACTACTCTGGTTCGCTCTCACAGGAGATGTCGTCCATGACCCGCTCAGCAGTGAACAGCAGACAGAGCCGGTGAGAGAGCAGCTGGGGACCACAGTGGAGCATTTAGCAGCTCCAGTGCCAGAGATGGTGGTGGAGACCAAACCCAGAGTGAACAGAGAGGGAGCACTGGGCTGAGGCTCCTCAGGGCGACACGGACACACTGTGCACGGAGGAACATGTTGATCTGTGTCTGCTGCAGGTGGGAATAAGAAACTGTTTGATCACAAGTTCAACTGATAAAGGGATGATATGTCAGTGTTGTGTTCAGTGATTCTACTGGAAGCAAGTGGACAAAAACATCTTAGTACAAACAATGAAAGTATTATTAAAAACAGTGGTTGCATATTGTTACCAGCAGCCATTCACATCACTGAACTGATTACTGGGTTCGTGTTTGTGCTCACTGCTAATTAGCTGTTGTTAGCATGTTAAACCAAGATGGTAAACACTAGATGTGGTGCAATGGAAGCGCGCGTGTGTGTGTGTGTGTGTGTGGAAAGTATTAGTTAAGAAGTTAGAAATTTAATCACAACCTACAAATCAGATTTTAATATTTCTTCTGTTTGAGCTGAATGTTTGCTGTGATGGTGGTGCCAAATCTAAAAATTCCCATCTGGGGAACTTCATGCAAACATGTCTGATATTTGTTGGGATATCATGACATGGTGATCAGCCAAGATCACCATCATCAGATCCAAACTAATATCAGTACACCAGAGATCTCCTTTGACCCTGTGTGCATATCAGGTGACCCCACCTGTGGCTCTGACCCCAAGGTTGAGAAACTCTGTTGGAGACGTCAAAGTGGTGGAACACATCTGCTCAAGTTACAGAGTTGGACATTAATGTGTACTGGCTTCACCCACTGGTCTGCCCACAGGAAGCGCTGTGTACTTGTACATCTATCTTTGTGAGGACCACTGTGAGTTTTGGAACATGAGGACATGTTGTCCAAGACTTGGTTTTCAGTTACATTTAGGGTCAAGGCTGCAGTAAGGGTGAGGGGCTCACAAAGATAGAAGTAGAAATGTGTGTGTTGCCACCATATGATGCCGCTTCTCTCTTTTTTTTTTTTTTTTGCATGTTGGGAAGTTTGTCCGAGAGTCAGCATGTGTGTGATGTACCTGAACACATCACAACAGGAGCTTGTGTGTTCATACGTGTGTGTGTGTGTGTGTTATGACAGGACATCCAGCGTGACAGTTCCTCTCTGTTTCTTCAGGATGGCAACCGCCTGCTCGTGTGTTGCTCCCTGCAGACTCTCTCCGTTCACCGATAAGATCTGGTCACCTCGCTTCAGACGCCCGTCCACAGCCGCCGCACCCTGAAACACACACACACACAGCATGCTTTGTTTCCTCCAGTCTGAAGCTAGCGTTAGCTGGCTAACATGTTAGCCATGCAGCGGCACTGTGTGAAGTGATGAGGTCGACAGTTTGGTGATTTCTGACCCACAGCTGCCCAGCATGACACAGACAGGTCCTGACCTTGCTGAAGACAGTCTTGACGTAGATCGGCAGGTCTCCATGAGGACTGCCAAAGCCTCCGACGATGCTGAAGCCAAGTCCCTCAGAGCCTTTCTCCAGGCTGATGGTGCGGGGCCTTGGACCCCTGAAGAGGCCAGATTCATGTTAGTACTACTTGTCGATACATCTGAACACCTGTGTGTGTGTGTGTGTGTGTGTGCGCGCGTTTACTCACTCGGGCTCGGCTGTGTACGTGTCAGTGCTGGCTGACACACCAGAGCTGCTTGACAAACTCTCCACCTGAGTGGCAATGGCGCCGATGTTGGTGTCTGCTACCACCTGACACACACAGTGCAACTGATTTTAACTGATTTAATTCACCAGGTTCCTCTTATGATTTAACTTTTCAGAGCGAGTTTCCACCGAGTCCGGCTCTGTCATGAGTCCACAACATTTCAGACGTGCAGCGTCTGTTCTGCAGCAGCCACATTTATAATACAGCTTAGAGTCGACCACTCGCAACACTTGTCCAGTGTCATGGGCCCAGGAAAGTTGGATTACCCATGTGATTCTTAAAAACTGATTTGCTGGGCTGCGACATGGATGGCTGTGAGCACGCAGTGAGAGCTCACGGCATCACACGCACTGAGTGTGTTTTCAGCAGCACCTGTGTACGTTGTGCATAAAAACTGTTCATGCAGTACCTGTGGAGAGGAGCATCAACACATTCAGCTCACCTCAGGCAAGGATTTACAGCTCCAACCAGAAGTTTATTAGTGCAGTAAATTACTTTACTGGGCTGGCTGAGTAAATTAAAGTTGAGAGCCAATTAAAACATCTGACTCTCACACAGAGAACAAGGCTGGCAGTCTCAGTCTTCCAGTTATCTCAGGGCGACACCTGGTCTAAGATGCAGAAAGACAAAAAGAGGTCTGTGCTTGTTTGCGTCTGCTGCAGGTTGATGAAAGCAGCATTAGCATAGAGGCCTGTCCTGCTGCTGCGGATATCACACTCCCAGTCAGCTGGACCACACATATACACACACACACACACACACACACACACACACAAAGCCCAGTGTGTGCAGTCAGCAGCAACGCTGAGGAACCTGCACTGCAGTCAAAGTCAGGATATTTCACATTAATAACAATCTGTGAACTCTGTTTGTACACAAACACTGAAACCTCATGGATTTTACCTGAACATGAGACACTTCTGTAACAGAGCCAACAGTGCGGTGATGACACTGAAACACACCTGTACATTTACAATAAAACCCAGTCCAACAGCACACCGCCTCAGCTCAGGTTTATTTAAACACAGTATGTTTAGGTATTTCTCCTGAAGTGTGTTAGCCACACAGTTACGGATCCAGCTACTTCCCAACATCAGGCAGCCCAGGTGTTCATCCAGCTGTGTGTCATCTCACACCCAACACTTGCACCCCCCTCAGACCTCTGCAGCCTATCCAGGACGCTCCTGTCCACCTGGTTTTCAACTCCTCTGGCCTCCTGTTGCTGCTTAATGCAGTTCAGAACTCTGGCGCTGGTCTACAAGGAGCTGCTCCGTCCTCCCACTAAGCCTTGGTCAAACCCTACACCCCAACCCGAGAACTGGAAGGGACACAACCCCAGGTAGGAGTCTTGCTCCTTTGTAATTTAAATGCACTTACTGCTTTGGACAAAAGCAGTGCGAGTGAACAGGGCACCATGTTGGAACACTGTGTCCACCTCCTTTAATGTAAACCCCTGGTGTGCTGTAAACAGCTGTGTGTGTGTGTGTGTGTGTGCGCGCGCACGTGTTACCTGAAGGCTGATGTTTCCGTAGCTGTTCTTCAGCATGGTAACGACCTCGCTGTGGGACAGACCATCCACACTCTGACCATTGATACTGACAATCCTATCCCCAACCTGAACACACACACACACACACACAGCTGCAGTTACACCAACAGACACACAATCTGAAAGTAACTAGTACATTTACTCAAGTTCTGTATTTGTACTAACACGCCTACTCCACTACATCTGTATGTATTTGTGGCTGATCTGAGTCTTTATGGTCTCTTTTTGGACATTCTGCACCTTCTTGTAGTTATTTTGTGTTTTTGTAGTACTTTTTGTGGTTGTTTTGCCTTTTCCAACCCAGTAGGCCCACTGGGCACAACCACATCCAAGTCAAGAGCCTCCTCATCAGATACACAGCAGTCTACAACATACCCCGCTGCCACCTGTCCGATCTCCTCCACCATCACACCCTGATTCAGATCTTCTTTCCGTCCCCCAGAGGACTAAGCACCAAACCTAAGGTGACAGATCCTTCTCCATCGCTGGCCCCACCCTCTGAGACTAAGACTCAAAGCTAACATTTTTAAAGCTACCTCCAACTAACATCTAGCCCTGTCACTAATGACAGAACATCTACTATCTTTTACTGTACTTGATCCTCACTAGTTAGATGCTTTGGTAACTACCAGCAGACCGGTCTGTCGGCCGATCAATCGATTAATCAAGTAAACAATCAGCAGACTAACACATTAGGAAACAGCCATTAACTGCGTTAGCTCCACCTCAATAAACAGTGCTGCTAATAATAATGTGCTGAAATACAACAGTACAACAATCAGAGGGCACTTCTTTCTGCAATGAGTACTTTTACTTTTGAACACTTACATACTTTTGCTATACCTGCAGTGCAGAATTTCTGCCAGAGTATTTTCAGTGTACAGTGGGTACGGAAAGTATTCAGACCCCCTTAAA